AAGTATACCTCAGCAAGGACCCCTGAAATCCCATCAAGGTCAAGGGTGCCGGCACCCCTGACCGCCTCCCTTTCAGATGGAGGAACTACTTTGATCATGGACTTGGCTACCTCAACCAAGTCAAGCCCCTGAGGGCCGGCTGCATCAAGCGTAAAAAAAGCAAGTTAGACCTAGTCAAGAAGGAAGCAAGTGTGAAAGTTTTTACAAGTGATTGTCCATACTTCTAGGCGGCCCCGCCGGGGTTTTAGAAGAAGTGGCCGGCTGCTTCTCAGCCGCCACTGTTTTCCTGGAAGACCCAGGAGAGCTTGCAACAGTCGTCCTCCGGGCCTTGGGGTCCGGCTGTTGCGAGGAAGAAGCTCTTGGAGTGCCAGACTGAAAACAAAAAGAGTTAGTATATGCATAAGACAACTCCTAAAAGAGGAAGAGTTTTCGAAGCCTACCAAGGGTGCCCCCTTGTTGGGGGAGTCGGCACAAGACTGTTGCATGAGAGAGGCCCGCAACATGGCCGCCGCAGTCTTGGATGCTGTTATTTTACTCATGGCGTCAGCTGCAAAAAATAAACAGCAAAGTTAGTAAAGATCCCAAGTAAACAAGGCGTGAAAAAAAACAGAGTATTTGTCAGGCCGGCTACCTCTAGAGCACCGACTGCTGAGGCCACAGGCGGCCAAAAAGTACTCGTCATAGAGCCACTTGAAGCTCGGGACGCAGTGTAGGGGTACTTGTTCTCGTACCCCTGAAGTAGAGTTCACCCTAGTCTCTACTTTGAAGAGTCCTTTGTCTAGGATCTCTCTTTTAGCCTTTGGGGGAACAGGCGGCATGCTGCGGCCGCCTGCGAGAAGAGGCGGATCCCTATTCCACTTGTTAAAACGTTGGTTCAGCTCCGTGTCTGAACCCTCAATGATAAGGAAGGTGTTCCGCCAATCCTTCCATTTGTTCGCCTTACCTCCCGTCATGAGGTAACCCCTATGGCTTGTTAATTGATACCAGCCGGTACCTCCCGACTTAGGGGTCCGGCTGAGATAGTTCATGTGGGCGAAAGCCTCAAAGCTTGGCTCCACCCCGTACATTTCGCACCCGGCCACATAGCCGAGTACGTTTACCCAAGAGTTGGGGGCTAACTGCCATAACCCCAAATCATACCCATCTAAAATCCGCTGAACAGCCGGATGTAATGGGAAGCGCAGTCCAGCTTTGATGGCCGCCACATAGCAGCCAAAGCAGCCGTCATCATAGCTGGTACCAGCCGGCCAGACGACAGTGTCTTCTGGATCCGGCACGAACAGTAAAAATTCCGGGCCCATTCTGTGGTTAGCAATAAAGCTCTCCACTTTGTCTTGCATGGTTGCGATCCGGCCCCGGGGTACCATGCAGTAGTAGGGGGCATTTTCCTCTCTGTAAGAGGCGGACGGCTCCGCCCAATTGTCCCCCTTCTCAACTGCATGAGAAAGTCTCGCCTCTTGTAGGCGGCTATGTCTTTCTTCTGAGCCTGGAGAACTGTGGCCAGAAGAGCTGGACTCGGACTCGTCCTCTGACGAGTCCGAAGAGGACGACTCCTCCCCTCTCCCAGAGGGGCCCGCCTCCTCTCCCTTAGAAGGAGCAGGAGGAAAATTAGACATATCAACGGTAAGATGGGAAGGGACCACCTTGGCCCCTCTCTCAGAACTGTCGGCTTGGCAGCCGCCTCGTTTCAATTCTACATCTGGCGCCTGGTCAGATGTTTCACTAATGAGCACCCTTTGGGAGGAGCCGTCTGAGTTTGATATCATAGCAGTCTTTTTTGTTCTGGCCATCACGTTCTGCATAGACACAGATACAGTCGGACTTTGTATAAAGGGCAAAGATGGGTCCAGAAAAGGGCAGGCGGCACTCCTAGTCCTAGATTCAGTCGTCCCCGGTGACCGGCTGATCACTAACTTAGGTCGTGTCGTGTGCTTCCGTGGTGCCATTTCAAAAAATAAAAAGAAAATTAAGAGTAAGAGAACTGAGTTACCTGAACGAGTGACGGTTGGTGAAGTTCTGGAAATCCGGGTCAGTCGGCTTGTCAGAACAGGCGGTAGGCAGAAAAGGTCCGAAATGTCAGAGCAAGTTCAGGGGTCCGAATGTTCTCGCAAAGTTCTCAAATGTGAAAATGACCGAAGTCAGCACTTCCTTATATAGGCAAAGTGAGAAGGCGAAGGGTCGCTTCCAAATTCAAAATTTGGGCGGGAAAATCTCTCGGCCGTTTGCAAGGTGACACCTGTAGCAGGCCGTCGCCTGTCACCGTGCGACACCTGTCACAGGCGACACGTGACCAGTCACGTGCCACCTGTGAGGGGCAAATGATTAGGGGATTTTTATCCACCAATCACCGTCTGACAAGTGGACCAACCAGGTTCCGCCACGTGTCCTTCACGTAGGCCAATAGGAGCCTGCCACGTGTCAATCACAGATACGTCCTCTACGGACCAATCGAGGCACGCCACGTGTCCACCCATGCCAAATGGGAAAACCGGCCAACAAGGCCCAATCCTGTCTAGAGGCCCGGTCAGCCCTAGGTTTACCCTAAACCTAGAGAGTGGCACGCTTCTCAAGACTATAAATACTTAATTAATCCTCATTAATTAAGCAATCAAGAAATCAAGAGAACATCAAGCAATTGAGAGGCAATTAATCTCACCTGAAGAACAGAGAAGAACAGAAACATTACGGAACACTAATAACCGGCTAATCTCGCTAACAAAGCAGATTACCAACATTAAACACTCTCACCTAGAGAGGTCTTATTACTTTAATTTCCGTATTAATTACTCCTTAATCAGGTACTAACTTGACCGTTGGAGGCGGAGCTCTCAGGAGTCTCCGTTATTTTGCAGGTACAGGCGTCCGGTTCCAGTCTCGGAATTGTAACTCTCCCGCAGGACATCAGAAAACCCCGAAACAGTACCCATCTAAAATTTTATTTTAAATTAGTACCTCCAAAAACACAAAATTGTAGATTTCAGTACCTCCGTCCATGTTCCGTTAAGTTTTTCGTTAGTGGGGCCCATTTCTAATTATTTAATAATTTAATTTATTAAAAAAAAAGGAAAAACATTTTATAAAAAAAAACTTAAAAAAATAATTAAAAAAATTAAAAAATGAAAAATCCCTAAAATCTTAACCAGCCACCACCGGCGCCGCCAACCCCTACCGCCGTCACCCATCCCAATTGACCACCCTCGACCCACGAAGTCAGCCGGCCGACCTTCCTCGAACCACGAAACCAGCCGTCCGACCACCCTCAGCTCGATCGACCTTCGAAACGAGCCCAACTGTACCCTGGTTTGACGACGGTTTTGGTTAAGGGAGAGGAAAACTTGGGCGGTGGTGGGTTGATTTGTTGCAGTCGGCTTCTTGCTGGGCTAGTTTAGGTGGTTCGACGCTGGTTTGGAGTCGGGAGATGACGATGGGGGCTTCTCGCTGGGCTGGTTTGGGTTGGGGTCTGATCTGGGTAGTTCGGCGACGGCTTCGGGTCGGGGAGACAACGATGGGGCTGGGTTAGGGTGACGGCCACCGTTGCGCTAGGGTTTCAGGGAAGGGGAAAACAGGGAGGGGTGGGGTGTCGCGGCCAGGAACGAGGAAGGGAGGGAAGATGGTGGTGGTTGCGCCAGTGCCAGGGAAGGGGAAAACAGGGAGGGAAAGGGAAGGGGTGGCCGGCGCCGGTGCCAGGGGAATTCGGCCACCAACAGCCGGAAGCCGGCGCCGGCGCTGGTGGCAGTGGCTGTTTTTATTATTATTATTATTATTTTAGTTTTTTTTTACAAAATTTTTTTCTTTTTTTTAATAAATTAAATTATTAAATAATTAGTTAATGGGCCCCACTAACGGAAAACTTAACGGAACTAGACGGAGGTACTGAAACCTATAGTTTTGTCATTTTGGAGGTACTAATTTAAAATAAAATTTTAGATGGGTACTAAAATTCAATTACCCCCATATTCGAGGTACTAAAATTCAAATTTTCCTTATTAGTATTCTTCATCACTGAATTGGTTACTTGCTTAGTGATTGCTTGAGTCTAATTAATTAGGTGAACCTTAGTCTCTTGGGATTCGATCCTTACTTGCCCGTCTACATAGTAGTGGTCTTGTTTAGTTTATTTTTGTTAGGTACACAACACGCCTACCAAGACAAAAATAGTAAAAGTTATACATAACATTTAACGGAGGTAGTATATAAAATTGTGCATACAAAATTCTAATATGAGGATTAACATTTGTCATGAAACTCGTTTTTGTGATAAACCATGAATTTAAATTATGTATTTGTAAACAAGGTAAATCGACTCAAATAATTTTTAATAATAACTATTGAAAAAGAAGTTGTTTTTTCACATAAAATCTTTAATAGAATCTATTAACTATTACTAAAACAAAATGTTGCTGACATTATCAAGGCTCAAACTATCTTACGTGTCATTCTCATGTTAAAAATTTTCCCTCCAATTCTATGTGTGATATCATCAATTATTAATGATTTTTTTTATTTATTTTTAATCTATATATACTTTTGACTTCAATGCGGCATAAGTGTCTATATAAAATTCAATTAACCAAGTTTTTCTCCTAAATTATAATTTCACATACCTAATTTGTTTGATATTTGATCGTGATTTCAAATTTTTTACTTTCCTTAAATGTAAATTATTTGTATATCTAATTTTAAACTTCATATACAATGTAATGCAACAAAATATAAATTACAAGAAAGATTAACTCTAAACGTGCATCTCACGGGGATAACCTAGTTGGTAACTGTAAACCTCGCTGATAAAATTCTACGAATTATGAGATGACTTACAGAAAGACAATTTGGTAGGTGGCGGTGGGGTTTGCTGAGAAAATTTTAAGGTTTAAGAGGATGCTAATACGTTATTAGTGTGAGGTTTTTTTTTTTTTTTTTTTTTTTTTTTTTACTACTACTTTATCTGAGATAATTTAATTTATTTCATTTTGTCTAAAGATTTGAACTTATTTTATTGAATTTTCTAGACATGTTTTGTTTAAATTTTTTTTTTTGTGAAATAATATAAAATAAGATCAAAATAATATGAAACAAACATACGCTAAATGTTGTCTTATGTTATCTTCGTTATTAATTTATATGAATTTATCTTCGTTATTTTATTTTGTCTGAATCCATTTAAACTTAATTTACATAATTAATACATAAATTTTCACTTAGTACTCAAAAATGGACCTTTTTTTTTTTGTCTAAAAATTATTTGAAAAAATGTTCTCTATATAAATTTTCTAATATGGAGTCAAAACATATCTTATTTAAATTTATTAAAATCAAACTCAAAAAAAAAAAAAAACCGAAGTCAAAATATTTTGAGTATGACCATTTGAGTATTTGACCCCAGCTCACCCTCTTATTCTCTCTCCTCTCCTAAATTGTTCACTTTCTGCGCCTACGAACTTTCCGGACGTTTCAAATTCCTCCCCAAAATTAATTTCCCCCAAAAAAATTCACCAAAATCCTCCCTCAATATCACCAAATCCCGAAAATACCCCTTATAACACCTCCAAATTACTTGACATTCATTCAAACATATCCAATCCTTCATCTTTATCCTTCTGGGTAAAATTGTCAAATTTACTAAACCCATAAATAGTTAAAGACAGCAAATCGTTAAGCCTTCTTAGCTAAGACTCAACTTTCTCTTCCAACTCACATTCATTTCTTCATTATAAATCCGAAATTTTCTCTCTCCTCAATTTTCTAGGGTTCCTAAAATCCCCAAATCAATTGTAAAGTTAAATTCGTTGGATTTTGTGCTGAAGTTTTGAAGGATTTATCTCAGTTAACAATGGCGATTGTTGAAGAAGGAGGTGAATTCGTGGTTCTATCGAAGATTAGAGCAGGGCATAAGCGAGAGTTTCAATTTGCTTTGAAATCGCAAAACGAGATTTCTGGGTTACTGAGTCGAACTCGAGTTAGGAAGAGTCCTGTGACTGAGGTGAACGAGTTGCAGGTTGTGAAGAAGATGAAGAAGAAACCGGTGGGAAGGATGAGGAAGATGACGTCATCTCCTGGATTAATGGAGAGTGAGGATGAGGCGGAGAGTGATGTTGTGGATGTGGTGAGTGATGACGAGTGCAATCGTCGTCAGAATGTGGAGAGTCAAAGGAGAGAGAATGGGAAAGTCAATGGTAATGGAAGTGAGAGTGACGCCATTGTTGAGGATGAAGGTAGTAATGTGACGAAGAAGGTTCCTAAGAAATTGAAGGAGCTTCTTGAAACTGGGTTGTTGGAGGGTTTATCTGTCAAGTACATTCGTAGTAGTAAGGTAATTTTGCTAAACACCCAGAAAAATTGAAAAAAAAGATAGAAAAAACAATTGATTGCAGAATATTCTGGTAATTTTGATGCTTGAAATGATATAATTTTGATTAATTTTGGTGTGGTTTTGACAGAAATTTCCGTCGGTTAAACGGCTTGCTGGAATTATAAGAGGGTGTGGGATTTTGTGTTTCTGTGATGATTGCAAGGGCATTCAAGTAAGTTGGTGTGTACTTTATTTTTTAAAATATTTTGAGTATATTCTGCATGTTATGTTACTCGGAGTCGACATTTCACCTCAAGTACTCGTGTCGGGTACTTGGATTGAAACCCTGACATGGGTATGGATACCTCCCCACCTCATTTGGGTCAAAACTATGTTATTTATTATGACGTACTCCGTATAAAATAGCTGATTCAACACTTAGAAATGGGTAAGGACACCTCCACATCTCATTTGGGCCTAAATAGCTAAGTTGACGCTAGGAAATGTACCCATGTCGGACACGAGTACCCAATTTGTGTAACATACATTGCATGTGTTGGATTATGTATACTTGTATCATCATATGTTGTAAGAATAATTTGGGTAATGTTTGATGAACTTACTTTTAAGTGGCTTGAAATGTAAATTATCTTGTATTTGACGATCAGTGAGACTTTTGATTGGGATTTATATCTTAATTCAAACAACCCTATGTATTATACGATGTTTAGAATAGTCAAGTGCAAATAAAATTGTGAAATTGAGATTTGTGTTTTGATTAATGGGTACCTAGCTTTGCATAGTGCATTACTGTTGTGTGCAATAATGCTGTTACTCTTTTGGCCATTTGATCACACTTTATGGATTTTGATCGATTTTTAAATCCTTTATTCTTCTGTGGTTTATGAATTATGAATATTATGTAGGTTGTAACGCCAAATCAGTTCGAATTGCATGCGGGTAGCTCAAATAAACGTCCACCAGAGTACATATATTTGGATAACGGAAAGAGCCTCCGGGACATTTTGACTGTGTGCAAGAATGCCAACCTGAAGTATCTAGAAGTCTCGATCCAAAATGCAATTAGTTCTTCAACTGAGAAGAAAATTGCATTTTGTGTCGAATGCAAAGGTATATTTGGAGTTTTATTATTGTATTACATTTTCTACTTCTCTATATTAATTTGTTAAAGAATTTGATTGAAATTGAAATAATCTTCCCCTCCAGAACCTATCTCTGATGCTAGTATTGGAAGAATGGCGCTGCTTTGCAGCTCCTGCTCAGATTTGGAAGCTTCTCATATGACCCCAATTCGAGGCATTAACACTGATGAAAGGTATGCTGCACTAAAGCATTTGGTTTTACATATTTGTGTATTTCATAAGAGTAAATTTGTAGTTGGTAAAATTCTGATATCCTTTTTTTGAGTTCATGCGTATTTTGTACATTTCATAAGAGCAAGATTGTGTCTTGATACTTCTCTTTTTTTTTTTTTTTGGCAATGGGGAAACAAGATAAAACAACACTAGGCCTCCATCCCCTGATAATTTATCATAATATCTTAGGATTATATAATCATTCAAACTGTCTTTTTCCTGTTCTCAACTGTGTTTCACTGTCTTCAAAAAGATCTGGGATTGAATTGTTTAAGATGAGATCTAATTCATCCAGCCTCCCCGTGCCAATCTCAGAGATTTTACTGTGTATGGACTGTGAGTTTCTGAGTAAGAATGTTGTAAAACCTGTACAAGATCCTTCAACGATTGGTTTCTAATCTTTATATATCTCACCGAATTATATCCAAATTTTGGTCATATCCTATTTTAATTTTAGATTATGAAAGAAATTATGAAATACAAATGATGCTAATGAGAATGAAAATCCCAGTTATAGCAAGACACTTGACATTATAATTTGGCCTTTGATTTTTATATACTGTTTTTTTGTAAAAAATGTTGTCTTGATGTGTGCACTCATTGCATGAATGATATACACAAGCTACTTTTAACTATTTTTTGTAAACTGAGAATTTTTTTTTTTTTTTTTTTTTTTTTTTTTTTTTTTGTTGTTGTTGTTGTTGTTGTTGTTGTTTTGCCAATACATTGTTGTTGTTGTTGTTGTTGTTTTGCCAATACATATGTTTTCTGTGTACTGAGGTTTTTCATTAAATTTTCAGATATGGCCAGCCTGTTTCACAGCAGAATTCTTCTAGTCATGCCTCAAAAACCAGCTTGCAATCAACTAAAAGTCAGGGCAAGATAACCCTTAAGTGAGTGTACTCTGTTTTGTTGATGCCATCCATTTGACTTCCTTGTTGTCAAAAGATTGATCTGTTGTTAACTTGTTGCCTGTGTTATTTGTTTCCTTTTTTTCCCCCCTAGGGACTTGCGGTTGCATAAATTGGTATTCCAGGATGATTTTTTGCCTGATGGTACAGAATTGGGATACTATGTTCGTGGAGAGGTCAGTTGATTTGGATGAAGCTTATAATTTTTCTATATAATTATTCTCCATTAGTCCCTTTGCTTCAGAGTGATGGGCCATATGTGATTTACTTTTACTTTTCAACATGAGTTATTCTATATCTGTGTTAGACGAGATTATTTATATGTTGCATATCAATAGATTCAATGCATGATTCCTTTTATGTTCAAATTGAGCCTATTATTTTGAAATGATATTTATGTTTCCTGAGCTGTTGCTTCTTTGCTGAACAGAAGGTTTTGTCTGGCTACAAGCAGAATTCTGGAATTTTCTGTTACTGCTGCAAGACAGAGGTGCTTTCTCTTCTTTTGGTTTACATGTGTAGTTATACCTGGGATTCAACTTTGTATACTCATATTTTATTTATTTATTTATTTATAATTTATGGACAGGTTAGCCCATCTCAATTTGAGGCACATGCTGGTTATCCTTCTCGCAGGAAGCCGTAAGTATATGTAGATTTTATTTGTTTCTTTCACTGGTACTGTTTTCTGTGGGCTCTCTCTCTCTCTCTCTCTCTCTCTCTCTCTCTCTTGAGGCGTACATTCTATTGAGCCCTGGCATATGCAGAATGACAGATTGGATAAATGAGTTTCTTTACTGAATCAAGCACTTGACACCTAAAGTCTCTTCCTTCTTGATCATGTAAAGCCAGAATTGAAATTTAAATTCTTTAACTATTAAGATAGAGTGTTCACTATTTTGGAACATTCCCCCTGCATTTCCACAAATCCACGTGCTACTAGACACTATTTATTTACTTTTGGTATAGTCGAGTTAGAGTGCAATTATATTTTCTAAAGCTCTACTCTCTCTGTCACACAAAGGATATTCCATTTAGACTTATCTCTTTATTTATGTTCTTACCCTTAACCATTTTTAATTAATATATAGATATTTTATTATTATAAGAAACGGGTAATCCTCTGTGGGACAGAAATGATTAAATAAATTACTGCAGAAGCCTGGACCCCTTAGTAAACATCGCCCAAAAGAAATATTGAAGTTATATGATTATGGACAGAAGAGGATTAAAGAAATTGCTTCAGGCATCGACCCCTTCATGAAACATTATGCAAAGATTTTATTGCTGCTGTCTTTTCTTTTGGAAGCCTTTTAGATGTGTATTTAATTTGTAGGTGAGACAGTTTTAATGTAAATCTGTACGCATCAAAATGGAACCATATTTGGCTTATAAAAATGTTATATTTTTCCTAGTCTTTTGGCATCATTTTTCCTACATGTGTTGATTTTGTATATTCTTCTGACAGTTACCTCAATATATACACTTCAAATGGTGCATCCCTTCATGAATTGTCACTCACTTTATCAAGAGCAAGCCAATTCTCAACAGATGATAATGATGACCTATGCAGTGTCTGCCGTAGTTCAGGGAATCTACTGTGTTGTGATGGTTGTCCAAGGGCATTTCATATAGGTGAGCTGTGTACACTTAATAATAAGAACATGTTTGTCTTGCTACTTATTTGTGGATGTTCTGGTTGTTTTTTCCCCTCATTCAGGTTGAAGTTCAACTAGTGAATATAATTAGGGAAAATTTTGATTGAGTAGAATGTTAGGTTGAAGGAAAATTTAGGAGAATGATTGACCGGAAAACTGATTATACATTATTCTTGAAGTTGTGATGACTTGTGCAGCAGCTTTGAGTTTCAAATCATGGATTGTTGGCTAACGTGATGAGTTTCCGTAGTGATTTAAGCTAGTGGTACAATTTACTGTCACTGCCATACAATGGTTAGTTTTGAGAAAATTTTGCTTCAAATCAAAATTTAATGTATCTCTGTTTTTTCTGAAGATGCTAGACAAAGAATAATTTTCATAGGTGGTGCTAGTTTGTTTTCTTTCCTGTAAAGGCATCAGTGTTAACAGTCTTAGTTTAGAAGACTTTAGGTTTATCATATCCTTTTTTGAAGTTGATATCACTTGTATATCTCTTTTGTCATCAATTCGTCATACTGTTGGTATTGTTATCTACTAACCTGTATGGGGTTTAGATCGTCTTTTATCTTTTTTATTACCAACAGCTCTATTGTTGTTTTCTGCTTCTTCTAAAGCTTTTTCTGAAAAGGGTCTATTGAGGAAAACATCTTATTAGGATCCAGTACTATAGCTATTCTACTGTACTTTTGTTCAGTTTTCTTTTCAATAAGATCTTAACATTTGGCTTTTTACAGCATAGTGCCCTTGCTTTGCATGTCAAACTGTTGATAAGCTGATAAGAGTAGAATGAGTTTTAAGAGTATTTGCATTATGTAATATTAAAAAGTAATAAATAAATAAATAAATAATAATAATAAACAGTTTTCTGCAATTCTGCTTACAATGACCAGTGTGTGTTTTTTAATCACAAACTGCAGCACTGATGTGCTTTTTTTTGTTTTTTTTCCTGAATTATTATTGTAGTGTTTATAATGTATTTCTATGATATACTCTGAAAACATAACTGAATCTAAAATTTGCATATGCTACTCATATTCTGCAAAATTAGCTGTGTATGGTTGGTTGATCTGCAGAAACTATGAGTTAGGACTTAGGATTATAATTAGCATCAGGTAGACTTGCTCCAAAGTAATTAATTGATATCAGGTTTAGAGAGAACTGGCAGTTGCATTGAATTGGAACTCTTGTCCTGATGTAGAGGTGTGTATATACTTGTAATGTTTACTTGGATCAATGTAATCATGTAAGTAGAGAGCTATAGGGGGATTTTTTTGCTGCTTTTTGCTTTGATGTTCTGCTGTATGTGTAATTTTTTTATCAAATTTTTTTTAAAAAAACTCGATCAATTTCTGTTGTAGAAATGTAGGATTTCTTCAAAAGATGCAAATTTTCTGCCGTGTGCATTTGTATACACTTTCTGCCTGACTGGTGATTCTGTATTTTTGACTTTCAGAATGCCTCTCTATACCAAGAGTTCCACAAGATAAATGGTATTGCAAGTATTGTGAGGATAATTTCCAGAAGGAGAAATTTGCTGAGCGCAATCCAAATGCTATAGCAGCTGGTCGGGTCCCTGGAGTTGACCCAATTGAACAGATAACTAATCGCTGCATTAGGATTGTTAAGACCCTTAATACTCAAGATAGTGGTGGCTGTACATTATGCAGGTAAAAACATTGGACTCTTGCTGTCCTTAGTTTTTAGCTCGTTGTTATATTGTCAAGTTTATAGCTGTGTATATGGTTGTAATTCTTGTATGATATTTGTACCTTATGCTAGTTCTAGAGAAAGGGAGAAACTCTCATGGTGCTTAATAAGCACATAGAACCCTGTTCCAATGTAAAGTAACGTGGGTTGAGGTGCTAGAATAAAAACAAACTAGATAATTCCTCTCTTACATAAGATTTGTGATTTCATAAACTCCAGGATTTGCAGTTAAATAGAAGGCTAGAACCCTGTTCCAATGTATAGAAACATGGGTTGAGGTGCCGTTATAAAATTACTACTATAAACTAAATATTTATCATCCTTCTGTGTATTTACTGGATTACATAAGATTTATGAATTCATAAACCTCAGGATTCATAGTTGTAGACCTTAAGTCTATTTTTCATCGTCATAATATATTTAGATGAGGTTGAGCTGTGAAAGGCCAACAATCTATGCTGATAAGTTGCTTTTGCTGTGTAATTGTTCACATTAGATAGACCTTCGTTTTAATCATGTCATCATGCTTATTAGTAATGTATAAAACTTCATGGAATACAAATATAGATGTTTTTAAATGATGCACAGATTTATACTTTTTTCTTCATATGCAGTGTTCAAGATTTTTGTAAATCAGGGTTTGGACCGCGTACTGTCATAATATGTGACCAGGTATTTATTTCTTAATTTATAACTCTTGTATTGTTTTTTCCAAAGCTAATGGAACTAACTGTCAATAAACGTGCTTTTTACAGTGTGAAAAAGAATATCATGTAGGCTGTATGAGGAAGCACAAAATGCATGACTTAAAGGTCCTCATCTATTTCTAATAATGAAAACCTTGAAGGATTATTGTGTGTGCATACTGTAAAGTTTTCTTGGGCTAAGATTGTTAGTATGGCTCTTGTTGCAGGAGTTGCCTGTTGGGAATTGGTTTTGTTGCTCTGACTGTGAAAGGATCAATACTTCTCTCAAGAAGTTGATAGAGGAAGGTGAGCAAAGGCTACCAGATCATCTCATTGATGTGGTAAAGAAAAAGTTCATTGAGAAAGATTCAAATGTAGATGATCTGGAAGTAACATGGAGGGTTTTTAGTGGGGGAAAGTCATGTCTTGATAAGATAAGACCATTTCTTTCGAAGGCTGTCTCTGTGTTCCATGTGAGTTTTGTCTTTTTTCTCTTGCTCTTTCCCATATTTCCTCTCTTTACACTTTCAGATATCATTTTTGCTCTTTGCCTCTGTTTTATCAATTTGCGGTATATTCATATGATACATTCTGATACTTAAGCCCATATGCCATTCGCCAATTAAATTAATCCTTGTAGTGGATGCTCTGTAGAGAGGTGGAATTGCATTCATCTTATCAGGCTTCAGATTGTTGGAACCTATATGTGCTCTGTTAATCAATATTGTATTATAATAATGAGCTATCACTGCCCATGTCAAGGTTTTACTTTCACATGGTATAGTTGTTGCTCATAGTTGATAATGTTCCCTATAGCTCGTCTGATGAGATTTATCTATCACAGCTATAATATGTCATAGCTAGTGTTATACATTCTAAGATGGGGGGGATCTGGCCTGACATAATCCCAAATCTCAATGGGGTATGTGGTCCACAGATCGGTATGGAAACAGCTTCTGATTACATATTTCTATCTGTTGTGGTTTTGCCAGCCTATCTAAACTTTGAACGTAATTACTTGAAATTAGGCTGGTTTCTATGTTGGTAAACGGGCTTTTTAATTTGACTGTGTAGTAGCTCCAATGAGAATTTATACCATGTATCAATAATTTACTGTCCCATCCGAAGTGGTCACTTCCCCTGTGAAAAAGCATCGGCATTTTCCTTTTCTCCTTTTAATGTTATGAGCATCATTGTATTGCTTGACAAAATATCCTTTGTGATTAGTGATAGTCTCTAAAAGTCTTATGGCTGTTTTCTGCTAGGAATTAGCATGGTTCACAGCACTAACAATGGCGGAAATTAAGAAGAGAAAATGCTGATCATAGTATTAAGATGAGAATTACAACTAATTGAACGATAATTCCACTTTCGAGAGGTGGATGCTCTCCTAATATGAGCTTTCAAGAGGCTCATTCTCTCCCAATAACAAACCTCACAATATTCAACATATGCTTATTCCTCCCAATGAGGCCTATTTATAGAAAAACTCTCCTACCAAACCTCTTAGCTTATTTCCCAAGTTACTTCTAATAGACTATGACTAATATGCCCTTCCCCCAAATATTGATTCCTTGCATTTCTTTATATGTCTTAGGAGCAATTTGATCCAATCCGATATGGTGAACTAAAGCAAGATCTTATCCCGCATATGGTTTATGGGTAAGTGAATTTACCTTCTCTTTAATGGTCATCTCTCAGCTCATCCCCAACGTGAATCAAGAGTCAGTCATGCAAACTTATTTTTGTTTTTGCAGGAGGAATTTGAAGGAAAATGAATTTGGAGGAATGTGCTGTGCAGTGATTACTGTGAAGTGAGTTATTTCCTTTTTCATTTGGGATTAACTAATTGATCTTTCTCCTGAAATTGCTTACACTTGCCTCGTTCTGCAGCTCAATAATTGTCTCATGTGCTGTTTTCCGTGTATTTGGGAAGGAGGTGGTTGAAGTCCCCTTAGTAGCAACGAGTAAGGATTGTGTAGGAAAGGTTAGCTTACGTTTCTTATTTTGAAATGCACAACTACTTCCTCTATTCCTTCTAGTCATTTGTCTTCTCACAAAAGCTATACTTGCCTTTATTATACTTGATGTAAGTCAAATTTCTCATTTGGTTACTTCTATTAAAGATTACTGGTATTGTGATTGTTTTGTGATGTGATATTATAAGTAAAAGTCATGGATTGAGTGATGTCAAATGTTTGAACTATATGTATTATTTTGGGCTGATGGCTATTGTGTTTTATAGTATCTGCTATGTACTGAACTAACTATTTGATTGATGCAGGGTTATTTCCAATGCTTATATTCATGTCTGGAAAGATTGTTTAAAGATTTGGGTGTACAACGCATTTTACTTCCAGCTGCTGAGGAGACAAGATCATTGTGGGTGAACAAATTCGGTTTCATTGAGATGCCACAAGAAGAGGTTTGTTCTCAAAACTTAATACATGTGTTTTTTTGGTGCCATCTAACTTATCATTTGCTTATTTGTGCTTTTTACAGTTCGATGATTTGAAAAAGTATTATGCCCTGATGATTTTTGATGGAACCTCAATGCTGCATAAGCTGGTGCCTAGGTCCGAAACCTGAGGTGTTGAGAAAGGCTGCTTGTGGACCAAAAAGGAAGGGCTTTTGTTCAAAGTATATTGCTTTTGACTTTGTACAGACAGGATAAATATCGGTGAAATAGGAAGAACGGATCTTTTGGTTTTCCATACCTATACAGAAATAGAACTGAAATCTCCAGTAGTGAGAATCAGGAAGTTTTGAAAGAAAAATATAAGGCGTAGGATTTTGATTAGTGCAGTTTGCTTGTGGAAACTTACAGCAGCTGTTAGAACACATTTTGTTGCAAATATGTAAATATTATTATTCTTCTTTTGTCAAAAGTTAAAATTGTGTTATTTTCAGTAAGCACAAGCTTCATGATCCACTGCATTTTGTTGTTAATTTTTGGATCTGTCTGCAGTGGGAAAAGCCGTAGGGATTAGGGAGTGTGTTTGGCTAGGAGAGGTTTGGAGAAAAAAAAAAAGCTTTAACCAATTCGAACCCCTCTAATTGGAGTTGTATTCTTGTAGAGTATTAAGGGCCAATTGGCCAAATTGGTAAATAAAAAAGACCCCTAGCGATAATTTAGTAAATAAAATAGTTCCGACGACAATTTGGTAAAAAAAGCAAATTTCAAGTGATAATTTGGTAAAAAAAAATCATCTCATGTGACAATTAACCCAAATATGCAAAAAATTTCGATAACCTACTCGTAAATGTTTAATTTAGTTCATTTTTCGTGGTTTCTTACCTAAATCTCCAACCCCTTTTTCGGAATTAACAATTTGAAGAAAAATTATTGTTTAAATATAATTTTCACGTAATTTTCTTACCCTGTATTATCAATTTTCTTAAAAAATGAGGTTGAAAATAAATTTGATATCGGGATATAGCAAAATAAAAGGAGATGACATATTAATTAAATTTTAAAATGACAAATAATTTTAAAAAATATAATAACGAATTAAATTAGGAAATTTGAAGAATTTGTCGGAAAAAATTAGATATTTTGGTCTAAATGTCGCCTGAGAATAATTTTTTTACCAAATTGTCGCTTGGAGTTAACTTTTTTTTACCATATTGTCGTCGGAGTTATTTATTTTACCAAATTGTCACTAGGGGTCTTTTTTATTTACCAATCTGATCAATTGACCGAGTATTAAGCCTAAGAAACTACGAGTTATTTAAAAAATTTACTAATACAAGATTTTTGGTTGAGTGAAGATGAAGAGAGTTTTGAGACCAACAAGCTAATTTTAAGAACGCTACCAATGCGAGTTTTTTAGTGACAGGTTTATAATACTCCAGTTGAGAAAAATAATTTGCTTTTTTTTTTTTTTTTTTTTTTTTTTTTTTTTGCAAACAGGAAAAAAAAATGATTTATCTATCCTATGTTACTTGGATTCGGGTACCGTTTGACACGGGTATGTGTGCAAGTGTTCGACTCGGCTTTTTGTGAAAAAATTCTACGATATTGAATTAAAATAAAGTGTCCAAGTGTTATATACATGTTTGAGGGGGTCCGACATGGGTATTTGAGGTAAAATGAAGAGTTCGAGTAACATAGTTTCTATCTTAAAGTCTGAATTTACAAAAAAAAAAAAAAAAAATCTTGTCATATTCAATTAGCAATATTGTCCTAAGAAAAACATTAGAGCATGATGTGGATTATGTGTAGGGGATTTTAATAAAAAGTAGTGTAATTATATTCAAGTTTCATATACCTTTTTTCCCCCTCAATTATTGAAAATCCCTCTTCTACTTTTCTTGCTACTAGTGATGAGAAGTTGAGGGCAATAGCAATAGAACACACCTCTAAGAGCACTTGCAATGGGAGGATACTCTCATTGTGGGCCATTTGTCCTAATTACTTCATATTTGAGTATTTGAAAACATACTCTAAATATGAAGTAATACTCTCATGATATTTCTCCCAAGTGGACCTACCCCCCCCCCCCCCCCAAACACATACACACACATTCCACTCACTCTTATTTGCCACCTGTCAACTCTCTTAACTGATCCCCGAGGAAATGTAATTGAAGGGTTGGGACTAGCAATGTCAGTGGGGCGGGTTAAGTAGGAGACTCGCCCTATCCTCGCTCCATTGGGTTGGGATAGAGCCTGGTTTGGTGGGTGGTGGGTGGGTATGGGGATAAAAATTATACCCGTCATGGCTAATGGGGTGGGGGTGGATTTTAGGTTGTCCTTGTTTTACCCTCCCCATTCCCAACTCATATTCACATCTATATATTTTTTAAAGATAGATAGTATATTTTTATACTATTTCATATTTTAAAAAAATAGGGGATTAGTCGGATCTTAGGTGGGGATTAAGTGGGGGGTGGATATCCAAGTGGGGTATGGGGCGAGGATGGTTTTGGAATTGTATTCGTAGGGGTGGAGAGGAATTTTGGTCCCGCCATAGGGATGGGGATGGGGATGTTAGGCGAGGATGGGGATAGAAAAGCCAACATTCGTCCCGTCTCGCCCCGCTCATTTGATGTAATATCTCGTATTTTTATATATTTTATAAATTATTTAATTATCTAGAAAATTTATTTTAAGAGGCAAACTTATTTATGTGATTTAAATAAAATAAGTTTAATTTTTGGTCAAAAGGTCGTACTATAATAGTTTAACTCGACCGAAGGGCCGTATGTAAAATAATTTACGTACGCCACTATTTCATCATTCAAGTCTATAATTTTTATAAAGCTCAAACCTACCCAAACGTATTCTACACTATAAATACTCCATTTATCTCCAAAATTTTCCCACACAAAAGTCAAGTGGTCAAAGTCAAGGTATTTTTTTTTTCTTTTTCTTTCTTTTCTCACTTTTTTCCTTTTTCCCTCCTCCCCCTGTGAAACCATGGAGTTCCCTCCATGCAAGTGCTGCCCCTGCCACGTCATCCTGCTGCCGTGGCACCTCGGCGCCCCTCCTGCCGGCATCCGGCGACCACCACCGTATCACCTTCTTCCTCCCTTCTCTCTCCTCTCTTTATTTAAATTAGGTTGATAATTAATTTTATGTGTTTTGGTATTATTGTTTTAAACTTTATTAATTGGTTTTATAATGATATTTTAATGGTTTTAAATCATAATTTTATGATTATTGCTTGGGTTTAATTTTCAGATTATATAATTTATAAAGTTAGGTTTTTAATTTATTAAAGATATGATTTTAAGGATTCTCTTATAAATTAATTCGGGAAGTTTGTATGTCTAATGTTCCTAGCTAATAATTGGCCATATAATAAAAGTGTGTTTTAAATGGAGTTTTTGATTAATTTATAATGCTGAAAATTGCCTCTAATTGTCGGTTTTGATCGTTTTATAACAAGAGTGTAATTACCCATTAAATAGAAGTTAAATTAAGGATTTTAAATTTCTTCAAAAAAAAAATAATTAAGGATTTTAAAATAATTATCAAGTTTTTATAAGTTATTTAAAGTGAGTTTAAAGTTGCTAGAAATTGTGTATACGAGGATGATTGATGTAATTTTTATTGTCCTTTTATGTAGGAGACTTAGTTTAGAAAATGTTCTGGTGTATACGGCTACTTTAAGAGCTTACTTGAAGTACGTACGCGTACTCGGAACTTGTGTCTGAAAGCATGGTAGGATTTGTTTTGATTAATTCCAAGTTAGTATCATGTTAGTAATTGGTTGAAATTGTGAATTGAATTGGATTTGATGATTGGTTTATGAGGCATGATTATTTGGAATAAATTATTATTGAAATTGGTGATGTTTGAATATTGAATATGGACCACATTTTTATTAATAACATGATTGAGAGCATGTTTAATCAAACTAATTGTTTAATTGACTTTGGAATAAAAAAAAGGAATTGAGCTATTTAAGTGTCTTATTACACGAGGATTAAATTATATTTTGGTGCTTACGTGCACTTAACGAGTTTACACACCGAAGGATAGGATTGTTGTGCCTACATGCACTTAATGTGTTGCACACCAATGTAGTTTAAAAAGGGTTCAACATAAATTAATTATGGTCACTAATTATTCATGAATTAAAATGTTTGATTGCCACTAAAGTCAAAAATGTGTTTTAAGTTAGTTTGTTTAAAACATGATCAAGTGTTTATTTTATAAGTCATTTTGAAAATTGAGTTGAATTTATTTTATTTGATTCTAGACTTATTTTAAAATTTTGTAGGACCAATTTTTTTTTTTTTTTTTATTTTTTAATTTTTATTAATTTTTTTTTAAAGGGAGAGGACTAAATTTTTTTTAGGGGAGGAATTCAATTTTTTTTATTATTAATTGGTTCTAATTTTTTTTTTAATTGGGGCCGAAAATTGGCTCCCATTTTTGGAGGATTTTAAAAAATTTTGATTCACAATGGGGAGTTCAAAAATATTTTTAGCTCGTTCGTCTAGCAGGAAAGTGAAGGATTAAGGTATGAATTACGTGTTAAACGTTTTAAAAGCATGTTGTGAGTTTGGGTAAGAAAGAATTGGGCATATAAGTTAGAATTATCCATGTTCTTGTATGCATTAGTTACTTAGGTTGTGGTGTTTGATCAAGTGAATTGAATGATGTGTGTAATGAAAGCATGTAATTATGTGTTAAGTTTTGTGTAAAGAAGAATTGTATGATCGAACATCAAATAAATTCATGCAAGAACTGTATTTATTTCTTTTTCTTTGGGAAGGGCTTTCTTTTCTAAGTCTTTTCATTCTTTACAGGATGCCGATACTCCCTAAAAAATACACATAAATTGGGACTTTAATTAAGAAAGACTACGAGCATCCATATGATTATGTTACGCAAATTCGCTTCCATTGTTCTTATCCGTGTGATGTTTTTGAGGACAAACAATGGGATATTCCTGACTGCATTTCAGCTTAGATTGTGCATTGCCTTCCTGGTGAACCACCTTATCTAGTTGTCAAAACTAAATTTGCTGATTTCTATCTACCCAGGGACATTCCCAATTACTCCAAATACATAGATCAAAATGGACAGTGGTTCCCAAATTAAGATTCTTGATCTTTCATCTTATTTAAGGTGAGCATCACCATTATTCTCGCCTTAATCTTCCTTTGCCAAATTATTATGCTCAAAATAATCAAGTTGGGAATAATTCCCCTTCTATTATCCATCAATTAGGGAGTACATCATTATCACAAAGCCACTAACTAGGAAATAGTAGGGAATCATAACCTGACGAAGAGGACTCTATGGAACAGAGTAATCATTATGTAGATAGTTTCATTATGGAGATTTCTGATCCAAATCTGCCATATCCACCTGTTATTATGTATATTTCTTCTTATGATACGGAGGATGAGAAATTTGTTCAAGTAAAGTAGGAACCTGAAACACCCGAGCCAATGGAAGATGATGAATCTAAGT